TTGTGATACAAAATAGAACATGATAAATGCATTAGAGGAGTAGAAGCAAAGTACTCCGTGAAAAGGGAAAGTTTCATTACAATGGGTGGATCGGAGAGAGAAGACTTTCTGGAAAAGGTGGCATTTGAAGTAGATTTTGGAAAATGAGTAGGACTTCAATAGAAGATGAGGAAGACATTTCAGATAGAAAGGAAAGAAAGAACAAAATCATGGAGGTTGGTAAGCACACAACATCTATGGTTAATTGTGAATAGTCCAATTGGGCTACATTAAGGGGATTTACATTATTAGATAAGGCTGAACAGAATAAGTTGGTACCAGTTTGTTAAGGGCCTTGAAAGCCATGTAATGAGTTACTACTTGATTCAGTAGGCAATCTCTTCTCTTTAGACCTGGACTGACTTGCGACTACCATAGAGGTTTATCTTCTAAGGAATTTTCAATAAGCTTTAGGTTATTAATCTCTCTCTGTTTACCTCTCCCTTGTAAATCAACTTCAAACTGGTGAATGAATACAATCACAGAGTGACTGAAAACGTCTATGATCTCTTGGGGGAGAAATCATTATTCTACTGCCTCCCACATACCTCTTGCTAAAGCCTGAATGGTCTCCTGCTTTCCTCCGACTGACCAGTTTCCCCAACCTCTATCCAACACACTAGTACTGATTATGCAACAACAATTAGTGGCCTTTAATTTCTTTTATTTAAGGGGAATAGACCATGCAATAATGAAGGGAGGATAAAACGATGGAGGGTGCACACTTCATTGGCTATTTAACAGTGGTCAGTGCCAGGCACACCTGACTGCAAAGAATAATGGATTTTCTGTTTAGCCACTTCAGTGGCCCCTTATCACCTCCAGCATCTAATACAGAATCCTCTGTTCAGTGTTAAAACCTTCATAACCTATCCCTCTTCCCCACCTTTCCCCACACTGGCCTCCTGGCTGCTTCAGGAATAAGACATTCCATCTTTCTGTGTAGGCATTTTCTCTGGTTGTACCTCATGCCTAGAATTCTCTCCCTTCTCCTCTTTGCCTTCTTCCTTCAAGTCCCACCTAAAATCCCACCTTTTATAGGAAGTCTTTACCAATCCTTCTTAATTCTTCTTAAACCCTTAATTCTATTCTTGTGCTTGTCCTTGTTGATTGCTTCCTATGTATTCTGTATATAGCTAGTTCATATATTTTTGTTTGCTTTTTTTGTCTCTTCCACTAGATTGTAAGCCCCTTGAGGACAGACATTGTCTTTTGCCTTTTTTTTTTTTTGTATCCCCACAACTTAGCATTGTTCCTGGCTGCTTAATAGGTGCTTAATAAACACTTATTGACCGCTTGGATTCCATCCCCCAAGAGGAAATATGGAGAAATAGGCCTCAGAGGAATTGCCTAGTTAGAGGGTAGCATCTTTCCCCAACTTTAACCAACAGAAATGTACTATCTTTGAAGGGTGGCAGGATTAGTTCAACAATCACTGTCTTTATCAACTGACAAAACACCCTCTCTGACTTGAGCAGCTGCAATTCAAGTTTGTCATAGTCTCTCTGAAGAGAAAGGGGCAAAATGCCTGCATATTTGGCATCTCAGTTGGGGCAAAGGGAAGGAAATCAGCATTTATATAGTGCCTTTGAGTCTAGTGCTTTTTAAAAATATTATCTCATTTGATCCTCACAACAATCCTTTGAGGTAGGTGCTGTTATCTCTATTTTACAGATAAGGAAATTAAGAAAAGCAGAGGCTAAATGACTTCCCCAGGGTCACACAGTAGAGTACCAGAGGCTGCATTTGAACTCAGGTCTTCCTGACTCCAGGTCCACTCCCCCTAACCAAATGGAAGAATATCACATGAATTTGAACTGTTTCATCACTCTTATCTACCCAGTGTCTTCCTCCTCAAATTCTCCACAAAACCCTTTCCAGCAGTACCAATTCCAATATATCACTGATTGATACTGTTTTCATAGGTGAGGAAATTGAGTCACCAAGAGGCTGTGTCTTCCTAAGAGTCTTGCTATGTATCTGAGCAAACCTTGGCGGGGGGATCCCAGTTCTTTTAATTCCCAGAGGTAGACTCTTTGCACAATTGAGAACCATCACTTTCTCTCTGAAAAGAGTAGGTAACTTTGAAGTCAGAAACCTGGATTATGGGAAATCAAGAAGTTTTTTTCCTGATCTGTAAAATGGGCACAAATACCTGTTATTTGCATTGTCCATTTCATAGAGTTGTGAGTTATCAGTAGAGCCCAATATCTTGATATTATTATATTTATTTTGTTCTTGCTGTTAACTGTCTTCCCATGTAAAGATTCTTTTCTTTTTTTCTTTTCATTATGGATGCTTACTACTGTTACATCACATTCATTTCCAAATGTACGCCTCCCTGCTCTCCTACACAGCAAGGCATCCCTCTTTACAGATTTTTAAAGAGGGAAAGAAAAAAAAAACAGCTCAGCAAAACCAACACATCAACAGTGTTTGATAGTAGAGGCAATATTCAACATCCATAGTCAACTTAACTCTGCACTGAAACAGAGGAAGACACATTTTCTCAACTTGTCTGAAGGGCCCAGCTTGGTTAATATAATTATGCAATGTTTAGTTTCCTATGTTTTGCTCTTTCTTCGTAAATTGTTGTAGTCATTGAGTACACTGTTTTGCTGGTCTTCCTTACTTCACTATGCATTACTTATATGAACAAGTTTTTCATGTTTCTCTGAATTCTTTATACAGTATTTTGAATTCTTTTGGTTAGCCATTCCCTAAACAAGGGCATCTATCTACTTTAAAAGCAGTAGAATGTCATAGTGAATAGAGTCCTGGCTACAGTTGCAATAAACCAGTGTTCACAGTCCATCTCTGGTATTTACTAGTTGTGTGACCCTGTGCAAGTCAATTAATCTCTGGGAACATCAGTTTCCTCTTCAGCAAAATGGGAGTAATATCAGCACTTATTTTATATTATCATGAGGATCAAATGAGAAAACAGGTGCAAATCTTAAAGTGCTTTATAAAGGTTGGCTGTTCTTTGCTAAAATGAAAAATGCTGTCTAAATATTTAGGTGTGTTTGGAATCTTTCTGCCTTAACAGTCTTGGGGGTACATGTTCAACTGTGAGAGCTCTAGGTCAAAGGCATGAATATCTAAAATTTTAAAAACATACTTTCAATTTGCTTTCCAGAACGGTTGCCCCAGTTCACTTGGCAGTGTATTGTATTAATGTGTCAGGCCCAGCTTTTCATAGTGTGTTTCTGAGTTCGTATTTTCGGTATATGAATGTCTGGTTCTGTGTCAGAGTCCATGTGCTCTTGGCTTTTGAGTATCTCTGTTCTGTTCTCTGTTTCTTTTCTGTTTAGACCTAAACTTGGAAGGCATCTTCCACCCACTGCCTATGCCCATGATCCAACAGGTTCTTCTCAGGCGAAGAGGTCCAGGTGGCCAAGTTGGACAGGAGTTGCATACGAGCCCCTGGGTTCCGCGTCGCGACATAACACTCAATCCACGGTACGATCTACAGCTCAGGGAGCCCTCAGAGCGTGCTTCTCATTGGCCTGGGGCACGTTTGGCAGGTTACTGCTCTGACCACAGCAACAATCCACCCCTTCATTTTCTCTTGGGCTTGGGGTCAGCCCGCAGCAACCACCCATAGTGTGGTCTCAACAAGGCCTGGAGGAGCCACGGATGGGAGCGGCGAACACAAGGGCCACTGGCCCTCAGCGATCGCAGGGCACGTTCTGCAGACGCCTCAGCTGCAGCAGGCACAGGCCCTGGGGACAGAAAATCGCGGCCCAAGGGACAGAAATCCAGCCAGGGCCAGAGGAGGCGGGGCATGGGCTGGAGCTGCTGGGGGGGGCGGTGAGGTGTGCGAGAGAGAACAGAGAAGGGGGAAATGGGGGGGGAGAGAGAATAGGGATTTTTTTTTTATAGGTGAAGGAGGAACAGGCCAGGAGGGATAGAGCGGGAAGGGTCTTCCAGAAGGGTTGGGGAAAGGGGGAATTCCAGGGGGAGGGGGAGAGAGGGAGGGGCGAGGGCTATTCCCGGCAGGGGAAGAGGTGGTAGAGAGGGAGGGGCGGGGTGCACACTGCACACACACACACCCCCCGCCCCGTTTTTGTTTCTCACCCATCCCGGGGTGGGAGCTGTCCACGAGGCCGGCAAGATCCCGCCCCGCCCCGCCCCCTCCTCGCACACGGGGTCCGGCCCCCCGCCCGCCTCTTTGTATCAAACATCCGGGTTTCCCCGCGGGCTCCACTTTGCCTTCGCGGCTCAGGAGCCATTTTGGACTCAGTTCAGCTCCCCCCCCCCCCCCCCCCCCCCCCCCCCCCCCCCCCCCCCCCCCC